GGGGGGGGGGGGGGGGGGGGGGGGGGGGGGGGGGGGGGTTGGACTAGATGACTTACAAGATCCCTTCCAACTCAATTAATCTGTAAATATCTGCCTCTGCATAGGCTGTGCTTTTTATTGGTTCATGTTATTTTTAATTCTTCTATTGTTAAGAATTATGTCTGAGTATGTATTAAAGGTTGGCTGCAAATTAGGACAGAAAAGAATGACTAAATTTACAAATCCAATTTTTTTTCTAAGTATTACATCTTTATATTATGTGGAAACTACTCAGAATCATTGAGAATTAGCAGCATACAAGTTCAGCAAATGTTGTTATTATTAGTCACACATGCTTCGAGAGCCTTGAATATAAGCTTAACTATGATTCTAAAGGCAGAGTTTCATTCACAATTTAATATAACATGACTTGCTTAGTTATGATTTAAGGTATCTTGGAAAAACACTGCCATGGATGAAAATAATAAACCAATGAAAGGAAGAAAGCACAGTTTGTACTACAATAGAACCTCTGGTCACGACCATACTTTGTTCCATAACTTTCACAATTTCTTCGTCTTCTAATTTTTGTCTTCAGGAATTTCTGTGTCAGGGGTCATGTTTGAGCATCACCCGAGTATGTGTTCATGACCAGATTCAAAAGTTTTGTCAATTTTTTAGTCAGAACCCAATTTGGTCATGATCAGAAGTGTTTGTGACCAGAGGTGTCGAGGTGAAATCTATTCACTTTTGATAGTAAATTCATTTAAGGTACAAAGAAAATATTAGACACTATCATAGATAAGCAGTCTGCATTTCTGTGGTATATGCATTACCGGTACTATCTGGACAGATGATAACTTTCAGCACCGCTATTTGTTATTTTTCTGAGCCAAGAAGATACAGCCAATTTAAGGCATGACTTCCTTTCCAGGTGATCATACTATGCCATACAAATGTGATTTCTCCTACGTCTTGATGCAGTTGCTTAATAGAAGTAGTCCTTGTTTAACAATCATTTGATTGGCAACCATTCAAAATTATGACAGTGTTGAAAAAAGTGATTTATGACCAGTTCTTGCACTTACAACTAACACAGTGCCTCTTCAATCATGTAATCGTGATACGGATGCTTGGCAGCTGTCACACCTTTACAATGGTTGCAGCATCCCATGTCCTGTGATCACCATTTACAATCTGTCCAGATGACCGCTGACAAACAAATTCAGTGGAGAAGCCAATAGGGAAGATCACATGTTGTGGTCACAGGATGTCTCACTTAATGACTATGGTGATTCGCTTCATGACCATGGCAAAAAAAAAGGTGATAAAATTGGGCGCACTAGTAAGATGCCTCATTTGATGATTGCCCCTCTTAACGATGAATTTTCTGGTCCCTGTTGTGTTGTAAGTCAAGGACTACGTGTAGTGAGGATGTCATCTGAGCACGTAATTACAGCAGTGTTAATGAACAGGTGCATTGCATTTGTAGGTCAAATGATGCTATATTGCATAGTGGTCTAGGTAAAATATTAGATAGACATGATTGAGAAAGTGTCAGGCATCGACCAGCCTTTGTGTATTTGTTCATTTGTGGTTTGGAAGATTAACATTTTTTAAGTTAAGTTTTAGTTAGTAATCCATGATCAAACATACAGCAGCATCTAGATTTATGGATTCCTGAACAATAGTAAATTAGCAAGTAGAATTGTAATCAAATCCAAGAGACAATGGGTATGTATATACATCTGGTCTTTATGCAAAAGAGGCCACTACAATTTATCTGTGTTTCTAGATTATTTTATACTCATGACCTGAGAGATGCAGAGGATATACTGGAGAATGTGCCTTGGAAAAAGAATAGCAAAAGATATCTGAATTGGTGTCATTAAGCAGCTAATTTTAATTTAAAAAACAAACATAAAGCATAAAGCTACTCTGCAGTAATCATCATCCTTGATAATATGCTGATGGTTGCTTAATTTTCTTTTCATTTTTCCATATAATAAACATAAATGTAAAATCTTTTTGATTTATTTATCTCATTTTGATTCACAATAGATAAAAGAATTAGGCAATTAAAATGCACTTTGCAATCAAATATGTCAAGATGCAGATAAATAACGGCTATGAAAGTGGTATAAAATATATTTCATTTAATTCATGTGTGCAATTTAGATCAATTCAAAATATTCATTGAATTAAACACAGTATATTTCTTTTTGGAGCAGCATGTACATTTCAACCTAGAATCTTATGAATATCCAGGGATTATGTAGCTGTTGTTTAGCATCTGTATACGTAGACTTATTAAATATCTATCTTTTAATTTTCCCCCCTCTCTGAACTGATTTTTTTTCCTTTGTATGTGCCAACTTTAAATGCATCTCAGCTGCCCAACTGTCCTATCCATTTTACTAACACACCAAATGTATTTTACCTTAGCTGCCCTTGAATCTTAATGTTCTCATATCTCCTTTCATTAACTAAGATTAAGCTAATTTTCTTTATGAGTAAACTGAATAAACCCGGCTTCTTAGAAACCTGTTTTTTAATCTACATATTAAAGCTTCAAAGTGTGTGCAAAAACTTGCTGATAGGAGCAAATATCACCCAGTACATGTATATAATCTACTGCAGATAGGATATTTCATGTGGTGGATCTATACGAGTAGGTATGCATTCTTACCTACTCATTTCTTTGTGACAAATACCTTTTGCCACTGATGTGAAAATGAGTATGTGCTGTGGAGAGTAAGAAGTCACTGCTCCACTGTACCAAATTGCTGATATGCAAGTGGGAAATGTGAGTTTTATATTGCAGATGAGTGGTGGAGAAATCGGTTCGGTCTCCGCAGCTCATCGCTCCTACTGGCTCGCCAGAACCAGGCAGAACC